TTTTTTTTTCCTTTTTTTTTTTCAGCCAATGTCTACTGATTAAAAAGTCTATTACAGGAAAACTAATGAACATTAGAGAGTCTACACAGAGAGTCTACATGCAGAGTAGAGAAACAAATTTCTACCAAAAATAAGGAGATGATTAATTGAAGATATGATTAAATACATTATAACAAATATTTTTGCACCTGATAATTAGATGATATGACCAAGGTAAGGGAGCAAATAACCTAAATCCAGTTTCAATTTATTGTTTCCAAAATTGTAATATTTATAAAGAAATGTAAGTAATACTTCAAATACATTGATAAATTAAAACATAAATAAGTTTCCTTGAAAACTGAAGGTACAGGAGGTTAACCCTAAGTACGAAGAATGTCATTTCATCTACCAATCACTACCCTAAGTAACTGACTGACCTAGTTTTCCTTTTTGGATCAAGGAGCTATAAAATTAAAAGCTTCCACTTCTGTGATACTTGACAGTGTTATTATTATTTCGTTTATGGCTCAAGCCTGTAATCCCAGCACTTTGGGAGGCTGTGATGGGTGGATCAATTGAGGTCAGGAGTTCAAGTCCAGCTTGGCCAACATGATGAAATCCTGTCTCTATTAAAAATACAAAAATTAGCCAGGTATGGTGGTGAGCACCTGTGATCCCAGCTACTCAGGAGAAGGATTGCTTGAACTTGGGAAGCGGAGCTTGTATTAAGCTGAGCTAGCACTACTGTACTCCAGTCTGGGCAGAGTCTCTGTCCAAAAAACTATAAAAATCTCATTTGATCTTTAAAAAACTCAATTAGGAGGTAGAGTATTTATCATTCTCATATCCTTAACTAAGAAAACTAAAGCTCAGAATGGCCAAGTGATTTGCCTAATGCTACATAACTAGAAGGTGATAGAGGTAGGCTGACACCCACATCGGCTGGCCTGAAGGAAAATTGTGTTTCTCTTTGGCCATGTGGTGGCAATTCTTTTCCATCTGATTCCTTTCATGTGGAATGTTCACGTGCCTGGGGGAAAATCCACTCTATTCAACGGTTGTTTCTTTTACACTTATTATTTTTTTAACAAATCAAGAGTAATGCCTGAGCTTATTTAACAACAAAGCCATTGCACAAAAATATCAACCTACCCTTTTACGGAGTTTTTCTGCAGCATCAAGTTCAGCTTTAATAGTCTTATCAAATTTATTTAAAAGTTGAGGCTTCTTTTTCTTAACTGAAAGAAAAAAGAGATTTTTGCTTTTAATTTGGTTTTTGCCTAGAAATAGTTATTTATCATAAGGATTTACAAGCAGGAGGAAACCTGATGATGGTCTCCACCACAGACCTGTGGGAGAAGGCACACTGCAGGCTTGCCTTCCACTTCCTCCCCTAGATGGTGTGATGAAGCCAGTGACTGCCGAGGAAGACAACACGGCCCTTACCTATCTGCTAGAATGTGTTCTTGGGAGAGTGGGTGAATACTCTATACTGAAAATCTCCAGGATACTGGCTTAGTTTCTGGAATGAAAACGGTGGGTATGACTTCTAAACTGTCATAATCAACTTCTTGGCTATGACCAAAAGATTGTTTAAAAGTTTTTGAATATGTCCACAACTTTTTCTGATACAGATAAAGATGGCAATGGAAGGCTCCCCTCAAGGAAGTCAAGTAAAACAGAATTATTAGTTTAGCATTCAAGGCCCTTCCAGTGCATCATGGACTGACCACACCAGCTATGTTCCATACTTCAGCCAAACTAGACTGCCCCCTTTTCCCCAAATAAGCTTTGTGCCATTTCTTTCTTCAACTTTTGTTTCTACAAAAAAAAAAAAAAAAAAAAAAAAGAGTCTCACTATGTCACCCAGGCTTGTCTTGAACTCCTGGCTTCACATGATCCTCCTGCCTTGGCCTCCCAAGGTGCTGGGGTTATAGGCATGAGCCACTGTGCCATTTCTTATGCTACCTCATTTAAATAAAAGGCCTGTTCTTTATCTTCTTCTGTCAAAAATGTGCCTATCCTTCAACAATGAGCTCAAAACCACACCCTTTATAAGGTTTCTCCTGAAATCACCCACACAGTACTCAGTCTCTCACTCCACTGTGTGTGTCCTTAAGTCCACTGCACCCTACATAGCTCTGTTTTGTGGTCCTCCCTGGCTAGGGGTTTTGTTACAATCCTTCATACACTTATCGTAGTCCTAGCTCCTACAGGGTGGTACCATATCTTAAATGCAGACTGAATGCACTCATGCTTACTTAGGAAACAGTTTATGAGTCTGTGCACAATCCTGATCCCCAGCAAACAGGGGTCCCCCGCCCGAAAGCAACGCACACCCAGCGAGTGAGAGGGCGAGTCCTGCTGGTCCACAGCTGGCAGTGCCTGCAGAGTGGATCCATGCAGAGCACTTCCCAGAAGGCCCAAGTGACAAGAGTGGAAGCTTGAAGGGCAAGCAGAATGTTCCAGAGAAGAGGACTGAAGGCAGGGAAGTGGGCAAAGAGGGAGGGATAGAAAGAAATTAGAACCATCAGAAGAGAACTTCCTCAATTTTCTGACAATAAACCTACAGACATAATAGCTTCTTCCCTATCTTGTCACAAAACAAGAGGGGCTCTTCTTTCTAAGGTCCCCTCCCCGCCAACACACATACCTGCGCTGTGCCTTCTGAATGTCTCCTCACTCTCTGGATCTCCTGTGTGCTCCCGGATGGGAGTTTCATAATGCATTAAATAATGCCAAAGTCTCTGCCATCTTACAACAAACAAACCAAGACAAACCTCAGCCTACCCTCCTCTACTTGCCATGCTCCCTCCCCTCCCCTGGAGAGGGGGACACCTCTTTCCCATTAGCACTTTGGCTTCTTTAACCACCACATGGGCAGAAGCAGTCTTCCAGAGGAGGGAGGGCTGTGTGGTTACGCATCAGATGGCAGGGGTCTGAGTCCCAGCTCTGTCACCTCCAAGCTCTGTGACCTAAGCCAAGCTGGCATAAACTCTTCTGGGTCTCACTTACCCTCTCTATAAAATTAAGGGTGTTTTTAAGGATTAAATCAATATAGTGTGTGAAGCATTTAACACAATGCGTGGCATATAGTAGTAAGTGCTCAGTACCTGAGAGCTATTAAAATAATGGCTACGGCTCTCTGCAAATCTATCTGTTCTGTTTCTTCCTATTTTACCCAGCCCCTCTACAACATTTGGCATAGTTGACTCCCTCCTCCTTCCTAAATGATCCCTTTCCTTGACTTTTATGTTGCCCATTCTCCCGGTTTTCCTCCTCATTCTCTAGGCTCTTGACTTTCTCTGTATCTCCTCGGTAATTCCTTCCCTCTGCTGCTCCTTGGGATGTTATATTCTTCAGAGTCAGTCTTCAGTACCTTTAGCAGCCTTAACTACTTAATTTTCCAGCTGAGCTACAGATCAACTGGTTCATTTTCTCCTGCATCACAAAAATTATAAATCCAAGCACCTACTGACACATGCTTCAAACTCAGTAAATAAAAAAAAAAAGAACTAGCTATTCATCACACATCCATTCTTTCTCATATTGACTTTATTTCAGAGAATGACACCCAGTTGTCCAAATCAGAAACTTGGTTAGAAAATGCAACCAAAGTAAGGGCAAAGAAGAACATGTGGAATTGTCCTAAGGAAGATGAAATGGAATCATTACCGTCTTTTCAGCGCTCACTCTGCACCAGTCACCAGGCCATGCACCATGCATAGATGCCTTTTATTCTCTCAACTTCCTGAATATAGGGAATTTAACTACACGGATAAGACCACTGAGGTTCCAAAAGGGTTAGTTACCTTGACTCCTCCCCTCTCTCACCCATATGGGAAAGAAGGGGGTTCTTATTTCTTGTTTCCCAAGAAGAGGGAAGATTCTCCAAAACCCTTAGCCTCCTACTTCTCCCCACAGGGTTGATGATGTGGCTTAATCTGCTTGCTCAGTTGGTGGAAGGAACTTGAAGTTCATTCAGTCTCACCCGTTCCCTACCTCTCAAGAGAATACACTCTGAGCTGAGCTGAGAGCATTCATGCTAAGCAGAGCTGCAAGAGAGGATCTCACATAGAACTAAGGCTATCCCATGCTGTCTGGCGCGGGTGGGTATGTCCAATTCTAGGGCTCAATATTAAGAAATCTGTTACTCCTGATTATCCAAACCCCATCCTTCAATTCAACTATCATCAAGTAATAAAGCTGACACTTTCATCACCTCTTATTTAATTACTTATACATATAAAAAAATTGCTATGATCATGTTATGTTTATTCCACCTTCCTCTTCTCTCCTCCCAGAAACTCTAATCCTCATATTGCTGAAAACTGTATGTGCCCAAGGCAGAGACTAAAAAAAAAAAAAAGTGAATAATGAGCTTTAAACTGCATGCCATTATATGTTACCATCTATGCTGATATGGAAAATGAATAGACATTTCACTGTGACACAGATTGATGGTGGTAGGAGCTTATGCCTTGCCATCTCAGCACAGCCTTATGTCTCCCAATTGTTCATTTTGCTTTTGTAGAACTGTCCTTCAACAGAGTGACAGTGAGACCTCCAGGAGAGCCTGGCGTGCACCTGAGTAGACAGTTTTACTGTGGGTATCACTGGTTTTCCCCAACATGTCTCCTGCGTTATAAAATTCAAGTTAAAATGATATTTATTTATAAGAAACTAAAAACTGGCAGTTTAGGACATCCAAAACAGTCAACAGCAAAATTATATGCTTGTTAATGAGCAATGCTGTATCTTAGTGTCACAATATTTCAGTAACAGCACTAAAATAGACAACATATTAAAAATCTCACAGCATGTCACCATGTTCTATCTTTTCATATATCTTCCTATATAATAGCTTCTAACTACCGTATTGGACCTCTCTTTGAAATTCAAATTTTATCCTATTTTTATTTTTAAGTACACAAAAAGCCCAAGGCAATTTTCCCAATTGCTAAAAATCACAGATTTATCCTTTCTTCTCGTTCTGGGGAGGCACATGTGCTAAGCTGTAGAAACAACGAGTCCTCATTCAGGTTGGTGACGGGACCCTGTTGAACTCTCTCAAGCACTCTGCGCCTCAGCTTTCTCACCTACAAATGGGTGACACGGGCTGCTTCTCTTAAGGTCTCTTTGAACTCGAAAGGCCTGTGCTTCTAATTTTCAGTATTTAAATCATGTTCATAGTTTTTTAAAGTACACCTATAAGGTACAAGAAAGGACCATTCATTTTGTTGAATTTGGACCTTTCAAAATGGTTTAGGAGGAAGCTATCTGTGCTATATGTAAAGTTTTTTTTT